CTATAGCACAGGTTTTGGAGGCCAAGGACTCCAGGACCCAGAGGCAAAGGGAAGCACATAACAAGACCAAAGCTGTCATAACTAAGTTGCAACATGAAATGCTGAAGCCAAGCCTTCATGATTTACCATCAGCAGAAACCCAGGGAGGAATCATCACCACATTTGCATACCAGGACATTGCTTATTCTTCTTTTGAGCATCTTATTACTGATCACCATCCATAAGAGAGATTCTTGAGCTAAATGAAGCCTGTGGCTCTCCAGGCAATTCCTAGACTACTTATAATTAAAGGCACCATTAAGCCTTCAGAGAAGCAGATGCCAATCCATGTCAAAAGTTACACAGCTGAGCAGGGTCCAATTACACTGAATTCAAGAGATACATCACATCCCCAACAGATGTCATTTCACAGGAAGCTTTTTCTGTATCTCACAATCTGAAGATSGTTGGAGATGTTCTCGCCTGTATTATCCCTTGTTTAGAAAAGACCATCCAGAGTCATCTGCCTGAAAGCTTAAGATGGGATAAGTGGCAAACAGAAGAAAAAGACACTGATASAGTGGRGAAGCCAATTATAAAAAMAAAAAAAAGTAAAAGTTTACATGGAGAAACAATTTCTTCCTTCCCATTTCACACTTTTTTGGTGGTAGGATGATATTTTGGGCTTCCTTTTGGCATGTTTATTCAGGGTCTGTATAGCCAAGCAGTTGCACATTCTTGAGAACTGGTAAATGCTACAAGCCCAGTTCATCCATTCCCTGAAAAGAGTTTCATGAACGATGTAAAACAACAATTAAGTGCCATGAAAATGGTTCTTACACACAGGTCCAGGTGGCAGAACACCCCAAAATATCTTTTGGGTTAAGATGTTGATCAAGTTTTCTGCTCTGCATTTAAATGGAAAAAGAGAGTCCAAATCAACTCTGAAGCAGCCATCATATAAGATACTAAAATTATTATCATCTGAACACAGAAAGGTCAAAAAATAAATTCTTAACTGCYTTCTCAACATAACGCAGAAAGCACATCTATTCTTAAGCATTCACCAAGGCCACTGAGTTTGGGAAWAAGACAGATGGGAGAACATGTAGGAGAATATGTTCTCTGAATACTTCCACAAATAGGCTACCAAAAGTCAAGAGAGATGCTGTGTCACAAGGGATGCAGAAGTCACAGGAGATGCATTTCTTGATATTCCACTCCAGGAGGGAGATCTTGAGCAGAGAGAGAAGCCTTTATTACTTGTTCCCCTGGCACTGCTTCCAGACACTTATCCTATAGATCTCCTATATTTTTAAACAAAATGGCCCCATGGCTGTGGAGTGACAGATGCCACTTTTCCAGCCTTTCCCAGCAACATGGAAGTTGACAGTTGACAGTGATATGAGAATCATCAAATCTGTGCTGAGCTTCCCTCTCACTGGTCCCATTCTCCAGCCTTTTCAGATGCTCCTGTAACTTGAAGCTGTTGGACAGCTTAAACAAATTGGAGGGAAAAGAAAAAATAAATATAAAAAATCCTAAACTGAAATCATCAGCCTGAAAATTGAGGGAAATASAAAGGGTAGGAACACTTCTCCTATGAAGACAGGATGAGAAAACTGGGGCTGTTCAGCCGGGAAAAGAGAAGGCTCCAAGAAATCTTAAAGTCTCGTCCAGTACCTAAAATGAGCCTTCAGGAAGGGTGAAGAAGAATTTTTCACATGGGCATGGAGTGATAGGAMACAGAGGAAATGTATTCAAATGAAGGAGTGTGTGTTTAGATTAATTATCAGGAAAAAATTCCTCCCTGTGAGGGTGGTGAGGCCCTGGCACAGGCTGCCCAGAGAAGCTGTGGCTGTCCCATCCCTGGAAATGTCCAAGGCCAGGTTGGACAGGGCTTGGAGCAATCTGGGACAGTGGAATGTGTCCCTGCCCATGGCTAGGGGTTGAAATGAGATGATTTTTAAGGTCCATTCCAACCCAAACCATTCTATGATTTCATGATTCAGCAACTTAGGTTTCTCATATACATAATCTGACAAAAACCCCAAAACCCCCCTGTGAGAAGCAGGTGTCCCCCAACCAGAGGCCTGGAGACTCTGCTCTTGCTTTCCAACTATCCTGTGCCCARCCAGCAAATGACACAGTTTGTTTCCAACATAAATCTGTTGTGCTCCAAAAAATGAATTTGCCCACGTTACCCTCCCATTGTTGAAAAAATTGGGACCATAATTAAGTAGAACACGGAATTAGCAGAAAGGTGTCCTTCAGTTGAACAGTGACCTGATTTTTGTCACTTTAATMAAAAAATGAGATCTATATAAACCATTGCATGAATTTGCTTTTCTATTTTAAGGATTTCTCACCATCTTGACTGCAAACAAAACACAGGGTCTTGTTTGCAGTCAAGTCAGAGCAAAACTGATGAATGCCAACACAGCTGGATCTCAACAGCCCTTCCGCTAAACTGCCACGTAGAAATTAAGGGAGTGACAGAGATTACCAAGAAAAATACAGCAACACACCTGTAGGTGTCCAATCAAGAGTCATTTCATGGAGTGGGAAACAATTCCAGGTGCAGAGGAAGCATGCAACGGAAGGCACACACAGCAGAGTTTGCATTAGTGCAGCTGCCTTCATTGCAATGACCCTAATTGGCATTTCCAGATGTGAGGCAGGAAAATCAGCTGACGGGAGCATCTTTGCATATAACCCTAGAAAACCTAGGTTGAAGGAGATATGGAGCTCTATACAAGGCATGCATGGAGAAAAAAATAAAATTAAAAATCCTACTAATCCTATCGTAAAAAAATTCTACTTTTGTTTCCACATATCGAGCCGGTTAAAGCAGCCCATGTTCTTCACTTGCTACCAGCAGCACTTATTTATCACCATCCTCAATTCTGAAAGCAAACTCCAAGTGATAATGTATGATCTCCCTGCAAAACCACACTGAGATGGATGGAGGACAAGGGGTATAATTTAAGACAGTTTCTATTGCTCACAGGACCAGAACGCTGCATTCAGGCTGCAGGAAAGGTCATTAGGAAATTGAAGGCAGCAGAAGATAACAGGAAAGTTTACAAACAACATTTCAACGGGAAAAAAATGAGCTCATTTGGGCGCTCAGGGAAAAGAGCAACAGAGAGGAAGTCTGGATGTGCAAGAGCTTTCCTCACCGCAGGCACAGGAGCGAGCTCATCTCCAGAGCTCCTGATGGAGCACACGAGATGTGCATCAGTGCCACCAATAGTAGCACCCAGTGTGGCAGGAATCTCCTCCTTGGCAAAGTCACCCATACCAACAGCACAGTTTGGAGTCATCTCCTGCCTCCCAGATGGCTCATTCCTGTCAGTGCAGCAGTCTGGGGAGCCAGGATCTCCCTGCGGTGGAGTGCACGGGATCGCTGCCCCGAGCTGGCTGCGCTTCAGCTTTCAGCCTTTTTGTGAGCACTGCAGGAGATAAGAGCTCAGATACAGGAGATAAGCAGCGTAAAGAGTT